CCAAAAGTTGACCATTACTAAGGCTACTTACGGTATAGTGTCAATGATTTTAAGGTATTTTTTGTTCTTCGTATGTAAATTTATTCCTAATATTATTTTATTAGATCAAAAGTTAAACGATGCAGAAAATAAGATACGAAATTACAAGAAGTTAAGCGAAGAAGATAAGCGCCTCGCAGATGAAAACAACCAAAAATTGATGGCAACTGGTAATTGAAGATCTCAATCGTAATATTTATGTTTTATTTTTGACGAGATCTAATTATTAAATTTTCTTTTAAGAACATGAAAAAAGACAATTAAAAGATGAAAACAAACAATTGAGGGGGGAAGTAGAAAAGGCGCTTTTTGAATGTGTACAGCAAGAGAAATTACATGTGCAAGAACGAGAAAATCGTTTGTCTCTGGAGGCAGCAAAGTTTCAAGAGTTGGCTCAAGCGAAAGGCAATTATATAATATTATCAAATTAATTTTATTTGTAATTTATTAATATCGATGTTAAATTATGATTATTTATTGTTACAGATACTTATGAAAAAATGTCTTCCCTAAGATCACAACACCATAATCAAATACAAAAGTTGGAGAATGATCTTCAAGAATGTAGGAGTAGCGAATATCAATTACAAGTAATGTATTCGAACAACATCTTTTTTGATTCTATTAAGCTTAATCAAATAAGTAAATGAATTTTATATGCATATATAGCATAAATGTAGGTTATCGGAACTTGAAAAAGATTCGTATATGAAACGATGCGATTCGTTAGAGAAAGATGTAGAACAATGGCAAAGTCTAGCCAAATCGGCGATAGAAGAAAAGGTGAATATTTTATAGTAATTAATTTATCATGTATTTAAATTATTAATTAAAAATTTTCTATATTATTAATAATTATTTAGAATACTGAGGTCGAAAAACTCAACAAAAAGCTTCAATCTGCAACGATAGATCTTGACAGATACCAACAATCATCTCAAAGTTATGAGCGTGCTTATAAAGATCAAATTCTTGTTGCCCAAAAAGCGAATTCAGATAAGGATGAAGCGAGTAAATATCATCATGAACAATTGAGACTTTTGAATACAGAACTAGAAAACGCGAAACGTTTGATACAAATACATGAAAAACGCGAGGAGGATCATCAAAATCTCATGACAGAAACTAAAGGTAGTGTCTTATACGATCTTAAATTTTATGTTAATGCGCTTCGTTTAAAAATGTCATATCTGTCAAACTTATGAATATATGTAATTTAAATATTTTTTTTTACGAATTTTTTTTTTATGATACAGGAGTTGTTGATGACTTAAATAATACTCTACTGGAGACTAAAGCAAAATTGGAAGAGGTAAAAATTCGCACGTTTAATGGTATTATTGGCAATAACTAACATATATATATATATATTTTTTAATTACAGTCGGTTAACGAGAAACAAAATTTACATGAAGAAGTACAAAGACTTAAAGAAGAGAATCGACAATTGAGTGATATATCTGCAATTGCTAATACTACCCCAGTTGGAGCTGTAAACCTTGCATTACAGAAAAAAGGAAAATCTATAGTTCAATTGGTAAATATGAAAAAATATAAATTGATAAGCATTTTTGAAATATTATCCCATTGATGATCTAATATAATTGAATGTTCGAATAGTATTCAGATTACTCCAAGTTACAAGAACGGATTATAGCCGAAGAGAAGAAGAATATGGAGCTTTTGCAACTGTTGAATACGTTCAATCATGAAATCGGTCAATTCGTAAGTATAAATTTTCTATGATTAATATATAAATGATATTTTTAATTTAATTATTTTCTCTTTCATTTTAGTCACCTGTTATTAATCAAAAAAATGAAGAATTTGATAGAATCGTCAATGAGCATAGGCAAATGTCCGAACAACTTTTAGAACGTGACAAAGAAATTGAAAACACCAAGGCATTAGTACGTTACAAATCTTATTTTGAATTTGTGGAAAGGAAAAAAAACATGCGACTTATTTTTGAAATTATTCTTTAGCTAAAAAACTCCAGATCAGAAAATCAGGAACTTAACGACCGAGTTATTGAACTTCAAAATGGTAATGTAAATTTTTTTTACGTTTCCAATAATAACACGTGTAATAGTTTGATTCCATTTGTTTACGCGACTTCTCATTATATATAGAAAAAGAATTGTGTGTCAAACATAATACGTCACTATTAGAAGAACTCGATAAGCTTCGTAAAGAAGGCTCAACCAATGTTGAATTAAACGTTAACGGGGAACCTGCCAAATACGATGATTTAAATTCATTATATTCGCGTACCCTCCATTTGGAATCTGAAAAAACAATCATGATTAGGAAGATGCAAAGTTATCAAAACATGATTAGTGAGTTAGAAGTCCAAATATCTCTTAAAAATACTGAGAATAAAAATGCTGTTGGGGAGGTTACTCGACTTCAACAGCGTCTAAAACAATGTCAGACACAAATTGATACGCTTGAACGTGAAAGAGAATTGGAGTTACGTAAACGTCGTAGCATGTCTATTGACTTAAGTCCAATAAAGGGAACATATCAAATGAACGTTTCCTCTGCTTCACTCCTACCTGAGTACCAAACGGAGAATACAGACTTGAAGGTAAGATTTTTTAAATTAATTTTGATTAAGATTTTAGATATTGTAAATTTAATTATAAATTTATTATATTATAGAATCGTCTTGATATTGCTACCGATGAAATTAAGAATTACGAAGAGAAATTGCAAAAGTCAAATCAAGATTTGTCCGTATTCCGTCACGAAAAGATTCAACTTACATACGATAAACAACATTTAGAAGGTTGATTTGATTATGTTTATTGTTAATCTCTGGATTTTTTTTTTTTTTTTTAAATAATCATCGATTTTTTTTTAGAGCGATATAAAATTCTTGATAGCCATTTCAACATGAAAATTGAAGAAAATAAATCCAATAAGGATTTGTTACGACAGGTACAAAAGATAAATGAACAATTGGAGAAACAGGCGAAAAAGGTATATTATTCAACTTGTATAAACTTAGTTTTGAAGTATATAACATTTTAATAAATCAATCCTTTGTGATACAGGCGGATAATGAAAGGGTACTTTTATCCCAAGAGCTCAAAACGTTGCAAAATGAGTATCAAACCCGTAAAGATGAATGGGAACAGTTACAACGCAGTTTTAATAAAGAAATGGATGAGCTCATGTCTGATAAACAGAAAGCTGAGGCCGAGGCTCAGGGCACACAAAGATTATTAGTAGAGAAAAGCCGCTTAGAAAATGAACTTAGCGAAACTCAAGATAAGCTATTAGCAATACAAGTTAAACACGATAAATTAAATGAACAGCATGAAGAGTTATCAGAGAAATATTATTCTGTACTTACCAAATCAGCCGAAGATAAGAGCAGTCTCATTGACGAAAACACAACATTACAAAATAAAATCAATACGTTTGAATCAGAACAAGATAAATTGAATGTGACCATTGAATCATTAAATAAAGAAATTCAAGAATATAAGGATAAGGTGCATCTTCTAGAGACACAAGGACAAGGACCTGCCATAGTTCAATTGCAGTAAATATCTTAATAGAGGGTTTATTTTTGTGTTTCTGTGACCTGATATTTCATTTTTATATTAAATCTTCACTTACATTATAGGCAAGACCTTGATAATCTCAAGAAAGAACGTGAAGAGCTGCAAAAGTACAGTGAATCATACAAAGATCTAGCAGAATCGAGGGGAAAATCATTAGAAGAAAATGAAAGATTATATCTTGAATTGAAGACCGCTGCAGATCAAGAAATAAATGAGAATAATGTACGTTATTATTAATGATTATTATGATGCTTAATGTAGGAACTTAACTTAATATTGGCTTTTTAGGCCACGATAAAATCGCTTCAAGATGAGCTACAAAAAATTAAGGATGAACTCACGTTGAAGGAAAACGATCTTAATAAGCAACTAAAGGAACTTTCTGATGCTCTTGATCAGTTAAATATTTCACAGCAGCAATTAAATGAAATAATGTCAAGCTCAGCTGCCAGAGACCAACACCATAGTGAAGAGA